ACAGCTTTAACAGCCTGTAGTTTAATCGCATCCTGAATGCTTACGGTACTTTGAAAAGGTTGCCTGGTCTCAGGAAGTGACACGATGATAAATGGTGACTCAGCCCGCACTGAGCACATAGAGTTTGTTTCTTGTGGCCTTGATGGATATAATTGAGGTGTTTTACAGGGGTTGTGTGAGGGGAAGAAAGAGACAGACATCTGAAGTTTAGGAGAGAGTCGGTCTCCACAGGAGGCGGGACCTTTGAGCTCTCTGTTGAAAAGACACGATGGAAGGAGTGGCATGTGGGGAGGGGGGCTGTAACAGCGTTTAAAACGTGTACAAAATTGTCACACTGCTTTAAATCCCGAAAAAACCCAGACACACAACGTGCAAAATCAACACAGAAAGGCCCTGACCGGCTGTCAAGTTGAAACTCCTGAACCATGAGAACCCGACACCACTGTGCTGCACTAACGTGTCAAATTGGGTTAAGTGTTAAGCACATTGACACCTTAAATATATACAAACACACCCCTCTCTTTTTGCCACAAAATTCAGATTTGTATGTTTAATGGGACTCTTATAGTTGTGTCCCTCATACATATGAATCTGTTTCAATCTCTCTGCCACTTGCATTTAGTTTGCCCGGCTGTCATGAATGTAAATGCACAGCTTTGCTTAAGCATCTAAATACGACTGGGAATCATCTGAGGTAATAACTACAAGAAGCTGTAAACACTTGTCCCTCCTGCCTCTCACTTCCTCTCATTCTTCTTCCTTTCCTCATTTGATTCAGCACTTTACTCCAGAGTTAAATCTCCTCACGACCTCCTCTCTGATACCAAATCTGATTTCAGGCCTTGCACCTCCATCACTGCAGGTCCCTCACTAACACTATTTTGCCATTCAGATACCACTTGGTATCATCGGGATGAGTGCAGCGCCTCTCGACATTCAGGCGCTCTTATCTGATTATACCCAAATTGCATCAGACTGCTATCGCTGCTATCACACTGCAATTCATCCAGATGCGGGAAGCCAAAATGTGGCACCTTTGATCAAGGTGTGTTCCGTTAGGCCTCTGTGGGATACGTGATGTGACGAACAATGAGCATGTGATAGTTTTATTCTTCAAATCAGAACTACAAATCACAATTAATAATAAGGATTCCAGCATTTAGCCTCAGTCAAATATCAATGATCTCACAACTCTAGCTTTTGAAGCAGCACCTATCATGAATTAGTTAACAGCTCCATGAGTCATAAATACAGCATACATGACAAGTATGTCACAGATCTGCTGCTGTCAGGTCCGAACTCTGTTAGAAATACTGTTCACTTATGTCCGGTCACTTCCACTTTGCAGTTTTTTGTAATTGCCATTAAGTTACAACAGCTAACCACGCTATTCAAGATATAATACAAGTATTTTTTAAAGGATAATTTTGTTGAATTTCAGGGAGAAAAATTGCGTTATGAGTTTAAGATGAGTTAATAAAGTGAATTGTATTTAGAAAGAGAAATGTAGGATAGATGTGACACATCATTGATTATACAATTATAGCCTCACAGATGATAATAGTAACAGCGATGGGAAGAAATGAAACCAGCTGGATTTGAAATATTGAAAACAGTCTTGAACAGAAGCTTGGAGCAGCAGGGTGGTGAGTTTGACACAACTCTGGTGGTCTGATGAAATAAGGTCTGAAAGAAAATACATAATATCAAATTTGTCAAGACAGAAATTAAATATCAAGGAACATTTGAGTTTGTAATAAAGTTAAACAGCATTGGGGTTTTATTTGGAAGGAAAAAAAGTCATGGTAAAATGTGGCATGATAATCTTTAATCAGGTAATTGAATATGAAGACCTGCTTCTTTGGGAATTAGAAATGAACTAGAGGGGCGCACTAAGAACGAAAACCTCTGCCAAGGCGAATGCTCTATCTCACCATGTTCAAGAAAATTTCCTGGAACCCCTCGATCTGGGTCCACAACCAATTCTAATGGGCTCTGACCCAAACTTCATCTTTTCACCAAGTTTCGTGGTAATATGTCAAGTTCTGTTTCGTGTAATGTGATAACAGGCATCTCAGGTGAAAAACTAACCACCTCAGAGGTAATAAGGATGTTTTTTTCTAAGAAGACATTTTAATTCTCATTTTCTAAAAGTAGGCTATTTTATTTTAAAATGATGTCATGTCATTGTCTTTTCTTTTTGTATTTAACATTTCTCCTTGATTTTTCAAACAGCATCCACAATAGGCAACTGTAGAAAGACAAATACATAGAATAAATGTAATAAATCAAAATTACAATGTCAGTGAAGGGGTACAGGGTAATACAGGGCTGTTACCTGATTTTGAGAAGATTCAAGGGATTTCATTTGACTGCGGTACTCGTGCCATTGATGGTCATTTCATTGTTTTCAAGTAGTTCAATCCTGCAGTCCTGTTTCTCTTTGCTTGGTTGGCTGTTCACGGCTAACACTGTCTGAAGAGTGTTGTTATTTTTCTCTAGTTTCAGTAGTTGGAAGTTTTGTAAGAAGTTGTGGTTACAATATGGCTCCTTCTGTGATTCGGAGCCATTTGACAGGAGGCAGGCTGTTTGGTAAAAGGCATGTAGTTACATAACAGAAGGGCCTTGGTGAGTGTGATTATGATTCAGACGGGTTGAACCGGGTGCTTTTCTGTTGCATAACTAGTTGACACCTCTGTGTCCCTTCCATCCATGCACACTCACACACATCATTTGATAAACTGAAGAAGCACAAACAATCCACATGTCTGCTTTTTCTCATGCTATTTCTCCGTTTAAAGTTTCTGAAGCAGCCTTTCCACCCTATGTGTACAAACTCATGGGCGATCATCACGCTGACCCGCACTCTTACAAATTTACTTAGACTGGTTAAGCATGATTGAAAGTAGGTGGCAACAGGAAATGCATTGACTGCAGTAGGTTCTTTTTTAGCTTTTTTCCTGTGAAGCTTGTAAAACAGCATAAAACAAGAGTTTTACAGGACTTGTACTGTTTTGTTATATCCAATTGCCTTTCTTCTTTCAGCATCATGTTTAAAATGTGTGTGTGATACCTGAGAAAAGCTTTCCTTTTGTTCCCCCACAAACAAATGCTTTTTTACATCTACAAGTTTTTAGTTCAAATGATTATTGTTTCATAATATGAAAAGGCTTTTATAGATTGAATATTTTGCAAAGAAAATGTGAGTCACTATAATATCAGTCCAAACTAAATGTCTCAGATTTGTCAGCTTGCTGATTCAGAGCGTTATTCCTTGCCATCTCACTATAGGCTGCACAAATAATACCTTACAACCTTACAGTACATGTGAAAAATGTGTCTTAAATGACGAGGCCATATGGAAGAAATGATATCAATACAAAAATGTTCTGTCGATGTCGATAAATATGGTTTTATAGATAGAAAGATAGATTAATTGGATTTGAATTGATGTCATACATGGACTCAAACATAGTTAAAGTTTAAAGTTGAAACTGAATTGAATAATAGGATTGAACAACTTTTTATTTATATATGTTTATTTTATTTGTGTGGGAGGAAATAGTGATTGGTATATTGTGTCTGTTCAGTTTTAAATGTCAGTACTCTGCTTCTGTATGAGGCCTCCAGTCCCCCCCCTCTAAAAAAATCAAAAATCCTAAATTAATAATAAATTATGAAATCAATAGTGATGTAATTATTTTGACTAATTCACATCAGTGCTCTACGGCTTGTCTGGAGAAAAACTCTGATTATAGCCTTTACTGTATCCAGGTGGCCCCTCTGGCAATGCCCCTCTTGGCAGTGCTGCAAAATGAACTAAGCGGAAACACTGGCCTCTCTATTTCACATTTTACTCCCTATTGTTTGGTGTTTCCTTGAGATGTCTGATGTCTTGCACAAGAAAAAACTTTTGCCACTTAGCTGCATGTAGGTCAGCGTAACATGTTTCAAGTTGTTTCCTTAAATGACTATTATCATGTTATTCATTTCAGCTTGTAAAATTATAAATAATGTGACATGCCATACATGACAAATGTCTCTAATTAAGATAAACAGCAGTAAACCTTAGTTTGTGTCTCATACCAAAGCCTGTGACGCACACAACATGAAAAAAACAGTAAAGAACCCCAGCAGGACGATCCCCCTCATGGCTGTTCAGCCTAGTTTCTCAAAGATGTACATCCCCATACAGCCTTCCATGTGTGTGTGTGTGTGTGTGTGTGTCTCTCTCTCCCCTGAGAACAATGTTTGCTGTATGATACTCATCAATTCATACCCCAGTCTCTGAGCATCTCTTAAGATTTACAGGCATGTAAAGTGCTGAACACGATATCGTGTAGTGTGATTTTATGTGTTTAAACTTATCTGCAGTACTGACGCCTCTTTACTCATTTGTGTTGGTGGTTTTGATACTTCACATTAGGGCTGTCAACGAATATTCTAAATTCGAATATATATTAGAATATATATTAAAATAAAACGGAGATTCGATTGTGAAAATGAATATTCGACTGTGGAAAAAAACACATCAGCGGCTGCTTTGCGAGTGGGTCGCACTGCATGACGGGACAGGGTCAGGCTACAGGAGTTGTACTTGCACAGCGTCACTCACTGTTGAAGGTGAGACACGACCAGGGTTTCCAGGCGGGTGGATACAAATTTGGTGTGAAAATACTTTTTGGATACTTCAGACTTGCAGACCAATTGGTAGTTGGAGAGGAAGTTGAGACCGTGAAACAATAAATGAAGAAAGTTAATTTGGTGGATTCTTATTGTCAATTAGTGCAATCATAGTTGGTGATACTGGGAGTAATACTCTAATGATATTTCAGTGACAACTAAATCAACTGGTTCATTAATATCATCCTTTCAAATGGATTAACTACTATTTAAACAATGTAGCAAACAAATGAACCTTGGTTTAGACTTTCACATGACCTTATAGTCTGTAAAATGCCTGAGTTGTGACACATTTTCCTGATGTTCCTATTTTTCAGGCACGTTACAAGCAGAGTCTGGACCCCACAGTGGACGAGGTGAAGAAGCTTTGCACGTCGCTGAGGCGTAACGCCAAGGAGGAGCGAGTCCTCTTCCACTACAACGGTCACGGGGTGCCGCGACCTACAGTCAATGGGGAGATCTGGGTCTTTAATAAGGTATCACACAAAGCCTGACCCACCTTGTCCCCACCTTCACGCACTCACACTACAGCTCTTAACCTTGGCTGGAACAAGGTCCCAAGATAGCTTGATTATCTGTTGTTGTAATGTCATAGGCTGGGATGGGATTAAAAATGTCATCAGATTATTTTGTTGTAGCCAACAATAAATGAAGTCGTCTGAAAAGAATAAGAAAAGAAGCTGGTGTCACTGGACGTCACACGACTCTTGTAGTGTTGTGTTAAATAGGGCTGGGACGAGTAACACACCTCATAAGGAATATTGCTGTACCCAGTCTTGATATTCCCCCAGAAAGTTACTTGAATTTTACTTTGGTTTTTATTTATTTTGTTGCTGGGCAGCTTTAGGTAGATTACATTACATTCCTTTTACTTGAATGGAACAAGCTCTTGCATTACGAATGTAAAAGGCAAGACTATCAGTTCAGCTGGGCTTTTTTTTGTTCGTGGAATAATGCCTGAAGCCAAAAGTTAGCGAACAAGTCACAGAAAAGTCTGCTTCTCGAAATTGTCAGGCAGTGCACGTTCATGTGTTTTGGGGGCGTAGCTTTGACAAGAGGACAGATGGATTGTTTCATAAGTGTAGCCTGCTCTTGTTAGCTTTTTCCAGGCTTCCCAATCCCAGTTTAAATACCATCAATAGAAATCCTACTATCTGGTCCTAATATTGATACAACCACTGATTGCTTGCAGCCTGAGTCTGAACAGCTACTGTTCAGCTTCAGCGGGCACACCATGGGAGTGGCCAGTTCATCCTCTCTCCCAGGAACTGAAATCACACTGAGGTTCCTGTGGTCAGAATGGATGAAAATTACATGAGAACCTCAAAAAGTTCCTGGGTTCTTGTTGTGGTCAAGAAGTGCAAATCATTTCACAGCCCAACATAAAACCACATTGTACCTGGAGGCTGTGATCCCTCGGCTTAGCTCCACTGTGGTGTAAAGAGTCGGTGACCTGTGAATCAGAGATAAAATATTAAGTTGTTCTTGCTGTGTCCTATAAGTAAGCACCCACTCAGAGTGATGCACCGCTGCTGTCTGGGTTTAGCTGTTGCCTCCTTGTCCCCAGTACACCCTTGTGTCTTATGTCCTCTTCTCTTTCTTCATCCTTCTTCCTGTAAAATGAAAGTGCTGTGTCAGTGGGATCTGAAACATGAGATCAGTGGGGATTTAGTGTTGTCGGGGAACCAGATTTTATTATTTATAATTGCATGCGTTTCTACCATCGTCATTTTTCTGTCTCTCTCACTCCCCCTCATTATAATTTTCCCTTTTCAACCATTTCTCCCTCCCTCTGCTCTGCTCACACTCTTCATCAAACAGATGACTAGTTAATAATTAAGCACAAATCTATGAAAGTGAGCAATCAGCAATACCAGGATGTACTCTCTGTATGATTTCTCACTTTGGCACCACTTTCTCTCTCTCTTTCTCAGAACTACACCCAGTACATACCACTGTCCATCTACGACCTGCAGACGTGGATGGGGAGCCCTTCCATTTTCGTCTACGATTGCTCTAATGCTGGAATCATCGTCAAGTCGTTTAAACAGTTCGCCCTGCAGAGAGAGCAGGAGCTGGAGGTGGGCACGAACACAGACAAACACACTCATGCTTTGCATATTGTTTACAACACAGAGTAGAAGGCGACTTGCAGGAAGATGAATACATTTTCTACATGTTGCACCTTATTGGAGATATTTTTTTGTTTTACAAATGCATGCAGTCAGAGTTTAGACAAAGTAGGATTCGATACCAAAATCCGGTGCCAATCAGGAGCTTCTTCCTACACGACCTAGCACCTACCGGACTGAATCACAATGCAGATATCTGTGCCTCATTTTGTCGCCTGAGTTATGTATTGATAAAGTTGTTCACCACAGGTGTCTAGTTAACATTGCACTTAATTTTGATGGTAACACCCTCTCTTTCTGGCTCTAGCAGCTTGTAATGTTAGCCTACAATTAACTAGTAGCTACCAGAAACTCAAGTTGACACAACAACACAATGCCTGAAGCTTAAGGGTTGAAATTGTGGCTGTATTTCATGTGAAAGGGTTTTGAAATTCAAGAGATGCAGCAAATGTTTGAAAACCATTCAGTGTAGAGTGAGGAACATTAACAGCTCAATGAAGCACTTGGCGACACAGGATACATTGGAAATCAGAGAGATGCACCATGTTTGACTGCTTGTGACCTTGTGCCAAACACATCAGCCGGCAGCGTGGGCGTCTCTGGCTCCGACAGCAGGGAGACAAGTGAGTTTGGAACTGGAATACTTTGCTTTTAAAGCAGTAAAACTTTTTTAGTGTCAAAATATTATACTTAGGTGAGGTTTTATTTGTTATGGAATTTGTGCACTTTTATGGTAAAATCTTTGCTCATTTAAGGTCAGAAAATGCCATTTTCATGCTTTTATTTTAAAAGTGAAGGTCAATTACAGATGCAGACTTCCTGTAAAAAAACAACCTGTAACATGACAAAGAAAACGGTGAAATTAAAGGACAATTAGAAAATATTGAAGTATTGACAACCCTCCGAAGAGGCACAAGGTTAGTATTTGTTGTTAAACAGTAACGCTAAGAAGTAGTTTGTGTATCAAGTCCACATATTATTGTAATATTGTTCTTTTTTGTGTCTTCACATCCAGCTCTTACAGTGTTTTGGGGGGTGTTCAATAAATCTAAAAATCATAGACAGTTGAAAAGTAAAATTTCAAGCTCCAATTTGCTTGCGAAGCAATAAAAAGAAGTCCTACTGTCGACCCTTGAAAAATGTATCAATTTTAGCAGCATCCAGGAATGGAACCATTTTGAAAGTATTGCTTTAGTAAAAAAAAATGTAAATAAACGATTCCCAACCCTACAGCAAAGGCGGAAAATGATCTGCTGGTGGTTATGGGTTATTGGTGGAAAAGTGGGTGTTTTGTTACTTGCACAAATGATTTGTTACTTTCACAAATACTACAAAAACACACACAAATATACACTTGCTCATCTGCATAGTATTTGTACAGGAGATCCAAGTGGCACGAGTGATTGTCAGCTATTACAAATCCAGGATGTCCTCAGTGTTGCCATCAGACCATTTGCCATCAAATAATCAGCTCGCTCATACACAGATACATGTACATACACACAAACACTATTACCAGCCCCAATACTCACTGCTTCATCTTCCTTCTCTCTCATTCTCTTTCCGGGCTGTGGCATGTTATGTGAATTCCTAATAAGTGCATGCTGTCATTCATCTCAATTATTTATGGAGCAGTTTCAGTCAGACTGTAGATAAGCGGGAAAACGACAGAGGAGGAGAGGGAGAGAGAGAAAACTACGAAGGGAAAGAAGAGCTCCTGTGAAAGCTGCGTTACCAGTTAAAGAAAAGGTGAAGGCAGCAGGCAAACTGCTGAGTTGCCGCAGTATTTGACAGAACTCGTGACGAGTGTCTTTCACCATCCTCAGCCTCTCCTGCTGTTCTCTGTTTAACTCTGCAGAGGTCAGGGCTGCAACTTCACAGCTAAGATCAAAGACTTACTCCTAATTTATGGAAGCAGAAATACTGAATAATTCATTTGCACCATATATTTTGTGTTTGACCAATGTAGTCATTTGTCAGCCATGTTCATATTTTTATTCCTCCCAAGGACCATATTAGCAAGTATTTTCTTGTTGACTTGTTTCCTTTCCACAAATGGTGTGCTTGTCATTGTCCAGATCATGTCTTTATTGAGGGTAGGTGTCACTGAGGAGGTAGTGTGTCAGTGGAAGGTCAGTGGTTCGATTCCCAGCTCCTCCAGGAAATATGATGTACCTGATGGGTGTGCCATTAGTGTGTGAATGGGAGACATGAATAAATGCTATAAATAGAAGCACTCTGAGTGAATGTGACCTGTGTTAAGATCTTTTAGTTGCCGTTAGGTATAGAAAAGTGCTACATGAATTCAGTCCATTTAGCATTTAGCTGCAAAAGAGTGTCATGGAACTGGGTTGTCATTTGTAGATTTACATTTAGTATTATATTCAGTGTACGACTGCTCACACCACCTTACAGCCCCTGTACAGCCCCCAGTGAGACTCTCACACAAGTGCAGAAACGGAAAACACAAATTGACAAAACACAACTATCAAAGTTACAGTCCAACTGCCAAAGCCACACATTGGAAAAACAGCAGGTGTGGTTAAGTTGTGGCTTTTGAAATTGTATTGTCACTTTTGCATTTTAGTTGTGTCTGTTGTTGTGTTGTGTCTTTCGGTGTGAGACGTCCTGGCCACAGTACCTGTAGGAAAGCTGGGTAATGTCATGCACTTACAAGTGTAGATATGTTAGTGTTGCCATCTATAGACAATGAAAATAATAACTAAGGATGGTGAGCGTTACATCCGCTATTAAAATATTTAAATAGTTGCTACACAGTGTGCTTTTGGGAAGACAAAGTTTTTACGAGTAAGCTTCAAATAGAGCAGAGCTGAAACTGAATTTCTAGTGGCATAAACTCCTTCATTTGGACAAAGGAAAGCGAGTAAGGGATGGCTTTGGGTTCATTCTAAGCTGCAGCCAACATAAGTTTGAGCTCTAGCTGTCTGTTGTTATTTAAGTGGAATTCTTATTTGCCCTAAACCTTGGCAGTGAAGCTTGTAAAGGGGCCGTGTGTCCCTAAGCTGAAATCTGCTGCATGGCTGAGGCAAAAAAATGGACAAGCACTTGGTCATTGTTGGAGACAGTATTTTTACTTTATGGTTGCAGGGCACACTGTGTACTCTGAAGATGTTATTTGCATGACTGCACAAAAAGTGTTTATTTAAAGGTGGGTGCTTCAGGGTTTAACTGCGGTGTTTCAGTGGGGGAAATACATAGAGGAGGTCCCCCAGTTAAATTCAGGGGAAGTTGCATAACGTACATAAGCAATTTCACTTTTCCACCTGAGTGCTTGTCCTTCTAACCCACTCATACAGGAAGTATATGTTAGGAGATGTAAGGGCTAATGGAAGGTAAAGAGACAGGCGATGACTTCTAGAGACTTTTTAATCATGCCGGAGATGATCCAAGTGGGGAGTCCCCCTCCTCACCCATGCACACCTCCACCCATATCCCTCTGTTGCAACACTCTGCATGCTCATGGGTGGTCCCAAGTGGGATCATGAAATGGTGACACATGCACAGATTTGTCAGCCATTTTTAAACGTGTACAACTGAGCATCATGGATTCAAATGAGGGAAAGATAGGTGTTATATGACTCCTCCACATCAACCTCCTCCTTCAATCCATTCAATTAGTCAGTCAGTCTGTGTGGGTGTGTGTTTGTGTGGGTGTGTGCATGCATGCTCTGAGTGCTCTATTATAGGGCCTTGTGCTTCCTTTTAAATATCTCATCACTTCCTCCATGCATTCAGCAAACATAGCCACTGCATTAGCAGCAGGGTGGAAAGATGTGTGTGTGTGTTATGTGTATATGGTGTGTGTGTTATGTGTATATGGTGTGTGTGTTTGGGGTTAGGTCTTTGTGCCTGGATGCTTACATTAAGCCTCCACCAGCTCCGTCTAGAATTTTAATGAATAATTAATGTGCAACTGTAAAAATTTTCGCTCCGCAAGAGTTGCATTTTGGGTGCCCTGCGTGCACGTGTGTGACTGCCGTGGTTCCGTGTTCCATCAGAAATCCCTTAGATTAGTCTCATAAATTAGTTTGGTTTTCCCAAAAGGAAATTTTGGTCAATTAGATAATACCCTGATTATCCCCAGTGGAAACGCAGGAAAAGAAAGCTGCCATGGTGAATTTCATGATAATTTGCGAGATTACAATATGCTAATGTGATAATTATAATGGATGCTTGGCATTAATCAGCTTCTGCTCGCAGTCTTGTCTTATTTACTGTTAGGATCATTGCAGCAGACTTTGTCCACACTGGGGAGATAATGTTGTCAGGTTGACACCACAAGAGGCTTTAGAAACGAACGCTGCTGTGTATGTTATGTCTCTGCGAGCAAGCCAACTTTTTTTTCTGTAGACGTAGAAAGAGGGAGAAGAGGAATTGCGTTACAAGACGATTGGAACTCATCCACACATCCGCACAAAAACGACCGGGCACCCACTCACACCTGCAAGCAGGAAAAATGAAATATGCATATTGTTGGGGGAAAAGGGGGGCACATGCAGAGATACACACATGATCACACCGCCTTCCATTAATTAAAATTATTGTTCTGTATATTTAATATCATGATTTATTCATGTGTGTGCAGAGCCCCTTATAGAGCAGCATAGTAAATACATCATGTCTCACACTGAGATCTGAGGCTCAGCTGCAGCTGCCTCAGTTCCACCACTTATTATAGAGTCAACTAATGAGTTATTGGACTAGCAGAGAGCAGGAGGGGTGTGCAGTATATACAGGAGTACGGAGGCATTACATAAATCCACAGTGCCTCATCACAAGTCTTTTTTTCAGTTTGATTAGCTAAACTGGTAACTGGATTGAACACTTGAATCAGGTCGTGGCAGTTTTATGAATAGAACACTTTACTTTGTGTTGCCTGTGCAGCCTGCTGTAGAAATAGCATTTTTCTTGCCTTGTTTCCTGTTTTTCTTTGGGCAGCCTGTAGATCATATTTGTTTCCCCGTATGTTCCAATTAGCTAATTTCACGCTTTAGGCTCAGAAAGAGGAGCACGTACATATGCTCGCCTCAGGTAGTGTAGGTTTACCCCACCTTGCGTCAGGCACTAAGCTACAGCACATTGCAAACTGGGACGCCCAAGAATAGTTTCCCTTGTCAAGCACTGGTGTTTTACCTGCTCTACTGTGAAATGTGCCCATGTGAACATACACGTTCTGTTATTTTATATCCATGCTCACTTGCATAATTGTGTGTATTCATGTATCACTGTAGATTGAAGGCTGTTGGTGTTGATGCCAGAAAGTTTGTGGGTTTCTCACACCAGCTCCTGCCTTAGTGCCTGTTGCCGCAGAAGTGTTTGCAAACACAGAAATGGTTTTTGCACAGGAGGCAGCATTTTTCGCTGCCTTTAACAGAAAACCGTTACGGCCGTTTACAGCTCCTCAAGATACTTAACAGTTACAGTTTGTAATTTATACCAAAAAGCCTCTCTACCGTCAGCTAGTCCAGGTGTGCAGAATTTGATCACAGCCTATTTATGCATCCCACACAAATGTTCCAGACTGAAGTGAATTGGGCAAGAAAACAAATGTTAAGGTGTCTAGTAATTACATTTTTTCCCCCTTATAATTCTTTATGTCATCACGCCAGTGCAAAAGCCCTGAGAGGCACCTTTCGGCATTTTTATGGATAAACATTATTAAGAAAAGAAAAAAAACGATATCAATTAAGTCAGTTTAAAGTGATGGGCAGCATGAGGCAGACTTTCTTGTAATAATAGAGGCTTGAGCTTTGCAGAAAAGAGGCGATGATGATAATAATAATAATCTCCCCCTAACAGTGAAAAGAAACAAGCCATAACAGTCATTGATGATAAAGAGAAGTCTTGGACTGCTGCCTCCATTAAGACCCACAGCTCATTAAAGCCTATTTAGCAAAAGACAAACCACGCTCAACTCCCGGCAAACAAATCAACACTACAACAACACAATGAGCACATAAATAGTCAAGAGCCCCAAATATAATTAAAGTTTTACATCATATGAAAGCCTCCTTCATTTTTCATTTTGGAAAGTATTGACGCAGCCATCCCAGAGTGTCGCAATACCACACTAAATGTGTTCCCAGAACAGATTGTTTACCACTGAGGACCGCCTGCTAAGAGGGCAAGGCAAGAAGAAGATTTCCTCACAGGGATCGATAAACTATCACATTATCATTACGTTCTCATAATGTCTCAGGCAGTGCGTCACTTGCACACGGAAGCACGCGGTGGCAAACCCGGAAAGAGGACTTGTGTTTTCTTTTCAGTCATATTTTCCTCCTGTTTTTTATGCAACAGAGGGAAAACAAAAAGAAGGGACTTTTATGTTTTGTCTCATGCTGTATGTAACGTAGCCAAAAAGTTGAACACTGTTTTGGTTCTTCAGTGAAATTCCTCTTCTCTTTACCCAACTCTGTATTTCATTTTTAATGTGGTAAACACAATACAGAAGCTTGTGAAGATTATTTAAAAACACATTTCTGTAATGGACAAGGTTGAGTTGTGGGAGCAGCGATAAGTAATGGCAACAGTGAGAACAGACAAAGACCTGGTGCCACTGCGGGACGTTTGCACAGACTTCCACGAGGACTAAAGATGATTTTAGAACTTGGTTTTTAGTCATACCTCATGTGCAGCTCAGGTTTATCATCACATCTGTTTCTACATCATCAAGACATCGTTTGTACCATGATGAATCTGTTAGCTGGTTAATCTAAATAAACTGTAGATTGTGTCTCAAAAGTTTTGCAAACCTGCACCCGCAAAGCTCCGAACTGGCCCTGACCCGTTTCCTGCAATTATCTCGAAATCAAATCCAGACCTGCCATGACCTGTTTATATATGACCCATGACCTGATTCATTACCTGAGATTATGCTACTCACCCCAGTTTATTTAATGTATAAGCATGCCCATGAATTTAAGTAAATATCAATTTAACCAAACCACAACCTTTTCTCTACCTGACAAAATGCAGGACACAAGTCTATAGTCTGATAGAATGCAGAGATGCCTGGAAACTATGCATCATTTTCTAACTTCTTTGTGACTAGTTCATGATGTAAAGCATCATATTTTATATGAGTCAATAATCAGTATGAGTTTAAGACCGTCTCTATTATTTGAAGACAAAACTTTTAATGATAAGCTCCAAACGTTTATCGAAATTTCCTCCCAGGTAACAATCCCAGCTAGTTTGGTGAAAACCAGACACACACACACACACACACACACACACACAGATGAAAACAACTTCTTGACACACAGGGTAACGATCAGGAAATCAGCACCGTGAATGTGAAACTCAGCAGTAGCTCTGCTCAAGGAGCTTTTTCAATAAATTTAAGTGAAAAATCAGGGCTGTCACAAAGGGGGTGCTCCCTGGCTGTGTGCCTTGTCCTCTGACAGACACAAACACTGGCCACAAACAAGTTTCATCTCTTTAAAGTCAAGATGTTTTTCAACCTGAGTCCCTTTTCTTTCTGTCCTTCAGTCATTCATGTCCCTCTTGGTTGGAGATGCACTTTTTACAGGAATGATGGAGCACTGTGGTCACTTGACAAATTCTGTTCAAGTTCAGATGTGATACTGGACTGCTGTTATTTTCTAATACGTTACATGTCGGGTATTTCAGTGATCGGTTAAGCATCGACACAATCTTGAGATCCCAATTTCGCAAATTTTCAAAATAAAAGCTCAGTTATTCAGCTTGATACAAAGCAATGCAACAACAAAACAAATGATGGGCCTTTTCTTAGAAGACAAATTGCCGAACAGGAAGTGATTCTATCACTGTTGTTGCATTGACAGAGGGCAGTACCTGCTGCACTTGTGTGACTGTCTGAGTGTTAACAAATGGTGTCATTTTGTGTCCGTTCAGGTGGCAGCCATCAACCCCAGCCACCCACTCGCCCAGATGCCTCTTCCCCCTTCTATGAAAAACTGCATCCAGCTGGCGGCCTGCGAGGCCAGCGAACTTCTGCCCATGAACCCTGACCTCCCCGCTGACCTTTTCACTTCCTGCCTCACCACGCCCATCAAGATTGCGCTACGATGGTAACGTCTCTCACACATACTTCTTCTTCCTTCTGTTTGCCACAATTCAACTTCTTACGACACATTTAAAGTGTAAAACACTGAGGAACTCAATAGAGATGTGTTCCACACGCTTCATTCAGAATATGATTTAAATTCACTCGTCTCAAGTAATGTTTGTTTTTTTAAATTTATTTTCACTTTGCTGACAGTGTGCTCCATTAATGAACCTGAATAGGCTTTAAACAGCAGGAGGAAGAACTTTATATTTATGCACAGGAGATGTATGGTTATGCTTTTTCACAGTAGGTAAGAAAATGGCAAAGGATTATGAAAAGCTTTTCTGCTCATGATATTTTTAGTCTCCCTGATTTAAATTTTTCTTGATGGAAAATCAGCACAAACATTCTGCTAAGGAAAGTTTCAAGGTTGTTTATAATTTGAGATTTAAATTAAAAAGTTTACAATAATTTTGACATTTCTTTTGGAATTTTGATTGATTTCTCTTGTAGGTAATTCTTTATTCTTTATCATGTATAAAAGGAACACATGTTTTCTCTGACCGAGCAGTAAATGGTGTGTCAGTCATTCATTCATGAAGCCTGTTAGCAGCAGGTTGGATCCGTGCTCGGGCACTTAGAGGACACAGTGACGTGTCCTTAGCTGAGAGCAAACATTTTTCTGTTCACCGACCCTGCTCAATATTCAGCCATGGTGTGAAATATTCAGCTACGATGCGAAATGTAAACCGACATCATCCACAGCGAAGCAGAGATGATGATCCCTGTGGAACGTGCTTCAGTAGAATAGGGGAAAGATATTCAGGCAAAATGAGTTCATGTGGGAGACATGGCTCATACACTGGCTTGATTTCCAGTGCATCCAGAAATTATTCACACCCCTTCACTTCTTTCACATTTTATGTCGCAGCCTTGTGTTAAAATTATAAAAAACTTAAGTATACTGACCCTTTACTTTAGCTGGTTTTAGTCAATGTAGTTCAGATTTAATTTTCCTTTCACATTCAAGGCAGTAGAAGATTCTCCAGCCACATCCACAACAACAGAAGATTCTTTGCAGCTGCAGAGGTCATGTGTTTTTGTTTACATCACATAAAGCTGGCGTTGGCTGAGATATTTGTATTCTTTTTGTTTTTCTCAGTTTCGCATGTTAGAAACCTCGTCAATATGCCCGATTGCTCGAGGTGAACCCTTAGGATAATCTCCTGCTGTATTATCACATGGGTTTATTTGAACATTATCCAGAGTTCTTACTCGGGGCTGGTCGGAGAAAGTCCCTAGAATGTCCACCGCAAAGTTCAGTGTAAGTCTCAAAAGCAGTTTATTACTTGAATTTAGCTCTTGATCATCTTTAAGATGTTTCTACATCTTAAAGATTTGATAATCCGGTTTAAAAAAAGATTTACTTCCTCTAACCGTCTCTCCACTGGCTTATAGGACATTTAGTGTTGATTGTTTTGCAACAGCTACATAACAAAATGTGTGGAAAAGTGAAGGGCTCTGAAAGCACCATGATGCATCATTCATTCAGAGGACTGTACTGACGGGGCTTCAAGCTAAGGCAGGAGCATGAGTTGCATCAGCCCAGTCGACTGTCTGTGGGGCACCGTGAGGGGGGGGGAGACTTGCACACCTTGGCAAAGATAATTGCATCACCTGTCAACATAAAATATGTGCACATACATAAATGTGTCATTCTTGGTGTTTACTGTTGCTCCACATCTGCATGTTGGGTGTTATTTCATAAACATATCGAAAGCTGGCCTCTGTCTGTCTATCAGATGGTTTGATTGTAAGCAGGGTCACACAAAAACAACTGAACAGATTTCAACAGAACTTGGTGGAAGGACGTGGTACGCGTCAGGAAAGAACTCAGATCAGGATCACTTTCTTTAACATTTTGATTTTCAGCATGTTTACAGTTTTTCCAGGATCCAATAGATCATGTATCTCGATGGAAATTAAAATCAGGCATATTTAGGCACATTTATTGATATGAGTTATAAGCAATGAGTGTCTGCACGTGATCAACTCATCCTGCACAGAACTACCAGCTTATATTCAGTCTCTCTGCAGTGAACCAGGTCCCTTTAGTGTCATTAATCATCACTTACCTGCACTGTTCTTTGCATTTTAATGACTGAATTCGCTTTGCACATATTAGAAGTCACAAGGATGGTTTAACAAATGTTCAGCTAGAAATTTGAAAGCAGTGGATAACTTAGGTGTGTAAGTGAGGATGACAGGTTGCCTTCGGAAGGTGTCCAACAACCAGCACAATGTTTCTTCTCTGCCACAAACGGTGAAAGATTTCGTTTATCTTCCTCCACTCTAAATCCACAGCCCGCCATGACCTTCAGCATAATGAGGTCTCAGTGCTTTGCCATTAATATTGATATTCCTTACCAACAACCCATTACGGAAAATAAGTTGCTAAAAACCTGTTGGATAATATTGACTGAGCTATTCCTTAATACACACTGCCTCCAGAAATGGATGTCATTGCTCGCAGAGGAAAGTTGGGACCTATCCTTCCTATTAAGCACGTAGTCAGGTCAGTGTTTCTGTAATGAATTTTACTTGTTGCTAATGAACTTGGAGAAATGTATTCATGTTAGCCTATGTATGCATTATATATGGAATTATCTCACTTAGCCCTGATGATTTTGATAAGCTAATTCAACATGAATATTATGTGAACAACAAAGGTTCAAATGAGAAATTAACCATCTTGTTGTTAATTTATTCAGTCAACTTTTTATTATTTTTATTTACACTTTGATGGAAACAAAATGAACGAAACTGTGTTTTGTTTGTTTTCTGAGAACTTCTCATAAAGATAGGGTTGGTGATTTGTTTCTGAAACAGTCCCGATCAAAATGTCGTTTGAAAAAATAAATTAATAAAAGCCGGCGCCTGTTGTCCTCCGGCGTCTGAAGGTCTGTGTCCTTCTGTCCACTAACTGACTTTAGAGCTGTTAGTTTTTCCAAAAATGCAGTAGCATTGTACAAAGACAACAAATGGCCCGAACCCAAACACTTCCACACGCCGCTTCTCAGATGCTGTGTTGTCATGATCCGCTCAGAGCGGCTTTGCTTGCTAGCGTCCTCCATTTTCATAACAAAACAACATTAGCATCACTGGCCGACTTCAGTACTAGAGAATGCAAACTTTTCCCCCAACTGTCAAATGAATGTTGGAATTTCACAGAAAAGATGGTGGCCCAAGTGACTCAGGGAAAAGTCGGCCTCTGGCAGTTGTCTGGCAGTTAGCTTTCATGTGACTGATGAGAAGGGGTGTGATGTATAGGTTGCAAATTTTCAAAGTAGCCTGCTCTTGCTGACTTTTATCAACTCAAGTTGTGTGTGGCTTTTGAAACAGGAAATAGTAAATTCTTAAGATTTTCAAAATTAGGATTTGTACTTGTTCTACTGCCACACCTATAATTTACCATTGTCCCATTACTGTCACTTTTGACTGCTGTTCAGAGGTTTGATTCAAACTCAAGGAATTGGAGGAGGAGGAAACTGAATGCTGGTGGACATTACTAATTCTACACGTATTCCACAGCTGCCACTCAGTGTCCTCCTGTCAGGTTTGGTAGAGAATAACAATTTGATTGAGAAGAGTCCGGATGCGCACAAACCTCCCTACTGGAATAAACATGCCAGCTGTGGTCTGCATTTCCATCAACCTCCTCCCAAACTTTCTCTGAGATATGGAACTCTTCTTAAGTCTCCCAAGATAATGTACCCCCCTCTTACCCTCCCTCTTCCTATTCTTCATACAGTTAGTTGCTGACTTTCCCGTTTGCTTATTATTTTCTCAATGAAAACATGCAGAGCTGTCTTCTCTGTAATTTCACACAGCCCCAGAGTGAGGAAGAGTGAAGAGAAAATGGGGAAGGGCTCGGGTGGAGTTTTGCAGACTGAGTGGGCGGATGGAGGGATTCACTGATGTGCAGGCTTACCTTGGCTTTAAAACTTTAATTAGATGCACTGAGGGATGGATGATGGGGTTTACTGAGAGGGAGAGATAGAGAAATGGGGAGTGCCAGGCAGAATGAGTGCATATGTACCTTTCATTGCTCAGCTGAGCAGAAAATCATTACTGACGGAGTGCCATCTTCAAGGGATTTCCCCACTTCTGCTAGGGATGGGGAGGGAGGAGATGAGCATCTTAAAATAGAGATGGAGGGAACAGGGTGAAATCAGGGGTTTGCAGGGTATAGATGAAAGAATGAAAGTTTTCAGTTCTTGCTTTGCGTTTGTACGGCTCTAGTGATAAAATATTTTCTCATTACAAATATTCAAGTTCCCAAGAGGATGAATCCGGAGCACTGAAGTGATTCTCATTTTGCACCACTACCCAGTGCAGGTCGAGTTCAAGTTCAAGAATCAAGTTCGGACAAATGAGAAATTATGCTTGATTAGCTTCAAACACAACCCATGTAGCTTGTTCCTCATGATGCAGCTGCATCTTTTTAAGACATTTTGTTCTTGATTTTTTTATCTACTGTGTCAAATCCGAAAATGCTTCCACACTACTGTTGAGTCTGTTCAGCACCATGAGCAATGATTGCCTGTTATGCTGAAGAGAACATGCAATAGGTCAAAATATTTCATTCAGTAATTACCCCTCGCTGCAGAACACTGTGAATTTTGATTTTGTAACAATCACAATACATTTAACAGTTATTCTCCCCATAGACCATATATAGTAATAACTTTGAGGTGTTTGACTTTTTCTGTAACATCACCAGCAGCGAGACATTTTGGGTCAAAGTGTAATATCTGTAACAATAGGATCATAGTGAAATGTGGTAGAGGCATGCATGTTGATTAACAGTAATCACTGAGGTGATGTTATAATCTTAGCTGACCTATGTGGTTAGTTGTAGTATCAGTAAATATTTGAAGATGATCATAGTAAGATCATCAGCATGTTATCATTAGTTTAAGCATTTCATCAAAGCACCTCAGTACCAGCACATAGAACAGC